CTCTACAAACAATAAATTAGCCAGGCGGGGTGACATGTGCTTGTACTCCTCAGTACTTGGGAGGGTGAAGCAGGAGAATCACTTGAGCCCAGGAGGTTGAACCCGCAATGAGCCATAGTTGTGCTACTGCACTCCAGCCTGGGTGACAGTGAGACCCTGTCTTTAAAAAAAAAAAAAAAAAAAAAAAAAAAAAAAAAAGAAAAATCAAAAAGTCAAATTCACAAAGGGATCCAAGCTAGAAATTAAGATGCAGAAGTCATCATTATGTAAATGGCAGTCCAAATCTAAGCTTTGGGAATAGTTGAAGTGATTCAGTGATTATGGCAGTGAAAAGAAGGATGGCTAGGACTGGATAGACTCTGAGAAAACCAAACATTTAAGGAGTATGTGGAGAATGCAAGTCAGCTTCTAAATGCTGCTCAGAAAGTTTGCCCAGAAATGTAGAGATGTAGCGGGTATGGTGTTAACAAAGCCAAGGGGGATTAGGTTCCAAGTGTGATATGCTGCTCTGAGGTAATGGAAGGTAAGAACTGAAAACTGTACTCTAAGTTGAGCAAGAAGGATTATTAGTGGCCTTGGTGGGAATATTTGCAGCATAGTACTGGGATAGGCAGTGGATTTAAGAATAAAGAAAAATTGTCTAAAAGAGAAGACAAATGAAATAATTGCTTCTTAATGGGAGGGTTATATGCATTTTTTCGATGTTTATATTTGATAGCTCTTTACATTTGCCACATTGAGCATTTATTAATTTAATAATTGGAAAAAATAAAATTTAAAAGCCTATAAAGAAATTTATGTCTAGCCTTATATTATTTCTCTTGTTAGGCAAAGATAAGTCACTTTCAGACTTGAGGCAGAAACCTTAAAGATAAGGAATTCCTGAATAATATTTTCATAGTCTACCCTTCAATTGGTTAAAGTTGTATATTGAGCACTTACTACATACCTAACCCTTTGTTAGTTCCTGTTTGATATGAAAGAAGTCCCTCTACCATTCCTTGCCCCAGATTGCTTACAGCTTAATTGGGGAGATAATATGTATGTATATGGAGGAATTAATGATTAATTACATTCAATGTATTATTAAATTGTCCAGTACAGATATTTAAACCCTGGGATGGTTGAGTAGCAAGCCTCCATTGATAGTAAATGAAAAAAAAAAAAAAAAAGTTAATGAAGGGAGAGATCAAGAGGAGGTATTGTAAGAACAGGCTTCCTGAAGAAGGTAACACTTGCATTGCACCTTGACGGAGGAGAAGGATGTAGTAAGTTGGGTGGACGAAGGGTGAGAGAGCACAGTGAGGAAAAGCATGGAGTCACTTGTGTGCATGGCATGCTTTGTGGAGTCAGTGAGGAGAAACTTGTGTGTAGAAAGCCAAGCAGGAAATTAGCCAATTCAGTTTTTTATAAGGAATAATTTTTGATTTTTTAATGGTGACATGTGTAGGAAACTTGTAGAAACTGGAAGAATGGAATAGTTAGTATAAGTGATGCAACTTTATAGTTGAGAGAGAGAAGTGAGGAGGGAAAAATGCTAATCTGAGAGCAAAAGCTCTGGTGTCATGGGAAGAGCTCTGGGAACTGGGCCCTCACTCTACTACTAACTAGTTCTATGATAATGATCAAGTAAATACTGTTAACTCTCTAGACTGCAATTTCTTCATCTGTAAAATTAGGAAATTTGAATATCCTGTGACCTCTGTAGGAAATTAGGATGGAAGACCTATAAATTTTCCCCGCTCTATAATTCTATGACACTGTTCATGTGATTGTGATGAAATAATTGACCAAACCTTAATTGGGTAGGTAAGCAAGTAGAGAAGTGAAGATGACTTCAACATTTTGAGACTGAGAGAAAAATATTCTTAGTAGAAATGGGGAAATATCTAAGAGAAGTGAGTTTAAGAGTTCTGTAATACCTTTAAAAATCAAGGGGGGCTGGTCCAGCAGCTGGAGATGGAATATATTCCTGCCAATTTTACTTAGACTTTCTTAGGGACTCTTCAGTTTTGTCAGCGGTTCCTTTCATTGTTTTCTTTGAGACCAAATATAGAACAAATTAGCCTTCTTTTTTAATTTTAGTATTTAATTAAATGCCTTATTGAAAATATGTATCTATTTGCTGGACTTGTTTTTATTTCAGGGTCTTTTTTTTTAATTTTTAATTTTTTTTTGTAGAGACAGGGTTCACCATGTTGCCCAGGCTGGTCTTGAACTTCTGGGCTCAAGCAATACTCCTGCCTCGGCCTCCCACAGTGCTAGGATTAGAGTCATGTAGCACCTGGCTAATTCAGGCTGCTGCTGCTTTTTTTTTTTTTTTTTTTTTTTTTTTTTTTTTTTTTTTNAGTGTCTCACTCTGTTGCCCAGGCTGGAGTGCAGTGGCATGATCTTGACTCGCTGCAACCTCCACCTCCCAGGTTCAAGCGATTCTTCTGCCTCGGCCTCCCATATAGCTGGGATTACAGGTGCATGCCACCATGCCTGGCTAATTTTTGTATTTTTTGTAGAGACAGGGTTTTACCATGTTGGCCAGGCTGGTATTGAACTTCTGACCTCAGGTGATCAGCCCGCCTTGGCCTCCCAAAAGGCTGGAATTATAGGTGTGAGCCACCACACCTGACCCAGGCTTCTTAATAGTGTATTTTGTGAACATTTTAATAAACAGAGTGTTATTTATTTATTTATTTAGACTGAGTTTTGCTCTTGTTGCCCAGGCTGGAGTGCAGTGGTGCAATCTTGGCTCACTGCAACCTCTGCCTCCTGGGTTCAAGCAATTCTCCTGCCTCAGCCTCCCAAGTAGCTGGAATTATAAGCGCCCACCACCACGTCTGGCTAATTTTTTGTATTTTTAGCAGACACAGTGTTCACCATGTTGGCCAGTCTGGTCTCAAACTCCTGACCGCAGGCAATCCACCTGCCTTGGCCTCCCAAAGTGCTGGAATTATAGGTGTGAGCCACTGTGCCCGGCCTGCTTGAGTGACATTTATTAAGTAAATCTAAATGAGCTAGAATTAAGAAATTTTTTTTCAGCAGTTTTAACAATCCTTCTTGGACATTATGCTAAGTAAAGTTAGCCAGGCACAGAAAGATGAATATCATTTATTCTTATTTGTATGTGGAATCTGAAAAAGTCAGACTTACAGAAGCAGAAAGTAGAATCGTGGTTGCCAGGGGCTTGGGGTGGGTAGGAAGCGGGAGATACAGGTCAAAAGGTACAATTTCTCTTAGACAGGATGAATAAATTCTAGAGATCTATTGTAAAGCATGTAACTATGGTTAATAATGAATTCTATGCTTCAAAATTGCTAAGACAGTAGATCTTAAATGTTCTCATCACATAAAAAGATAATTACATGAGGGGATGGGTATGCTAATAGCTTGACTGTAATCATTTTACAATGTATACATATATTAAAATATCACATTGTACACTGTAAATATATGCAATTATTTCAGTTACACCTCAGTAAGTAAAGCAGGAGACAAAAAAAAAAGCTGCAAAGTGTACATCAATAGTGCTATAATTTTTTTTTTTTTGATATGATGTCTCACTCTGTCTCACAGGCTGGAGTGGAGTGGTGCATTCACGACTCACTGTAGTCTCTACCTCCTCAGGCTCATGAGATCCTCCTGTCTCAGTCTCCCGAGTAACTGGGACTACAAGCGTGTGCCACCATGCCTGGATAATTTTATTATTTGTAGAGTTAGGATTTTGCCACATTGCCCAGGCTGGTATCGAACTCCTGGCCTTAAGCTGTCCGCCCACTTTGGCCTCCCAAAGTGCTGGGATAACAGGTGTGAGCCACTGCACCTGGCCAATAATGTTATAATTCTTACATCAAGTATTTGGAGAATAAAATTATCAAGAATTTAAAAACAGCAGCTTGTCTGAGATAATAAGTTATCTCAATTGATTGTTCACAGTCAGTTACAGACCAGACTTTTTTTTTTTTAATAATTCTTTTGGAGACAGAGTCTTGCTGTGTCACCCAGGCTGGAGTGCAGTGGTGCGATCTAGGCTCACTGCAACCTCTGCTGCCCAGGTTTAAGTGATTCTCCTGCCTCAGCCTCCCAAGTAGCTGGGATTACAGGCATGCACCAGCATACCCAGCGAATTTTTTTGTATTTTAGTAGAGAGAGGGTTTTACCATGTTGCCCAGGGTAGTCTCACACTCCTGAGCTCCAGCAGTCCGCCTGCCTTGGCCTCCCAAAGTGCTGTCCCCACCTGGCCCAGACCAAACTTATTCTACTCTTTCTCCCCTTCTCACTACTATACTTGACTAATCTTTAACAAAATAATAAAAGAAGAAAGAAAACAACAGCGTTTCTTGGGTTGTCTGCCTTTAGGAGTAAAGCTTAGTACTTAAATTCTTAGAGCTTTTTCTGAGTGGTTTTTGTTGTTGTTGTTGTTGTTGTTATTGTTTGTTTGCTTTTTTTGAGACGGAGTCTTGCTCTGTCACCCAGGCTAGAGTGCAGTAGCGTGATTCAGCTCACTGAAACCTCTGCCTCCCAGATTCAAGTGATTCTCCTGCCTCAGCCTCCTAAGTAGCTGGGACTACAGGGGCATACCACCATGCTCTGCTAATTTTTGTATTTTTAGTAGAGATGAGGTTTCACCTTGTTGGCCAGGATGGTCTCGATCTTCTGACCTCATGATCCACCTGCCTCAGCATCCCAAAGTGCTGGGATTACAGGGGTGAGCCACTGAGTGTTTTAAATTTGTACCTCTTGATAATATGTCTTTTTAATTGTTCCATACCTTTTTCATATGTGTAATTTTTATTCCAAAATAATATTGCTATCTTCAAGGAATTATCTTATTTCTTTAGCCCTTAGCAACCTGGACCTTAGTAAATATTGTTAACCAAATAACCTTGTTTAATAGGTGATTTAATTTAAAAAATCAAAACCACCTTTAGCAGATTACCATTTGTATTTCTTGAAATGATTCAATGTGTAGTTTATTGAATACATTTTTATTGCTTTTTTACTTATAGAGCTCAAAGCATGCCTGTTTTTAAGGAAGTAAAGGTACATCTGTTAGAGGATGCAGGCATAGAGAAGGATGCTGTTACTCAGGAGACTAGAATTTCACCCAGTGGAATTGATTCAGCTACAACTGTGGCCGCAGCAACTGCTGCTGCCATTGCAACCGCAGCTCCATTGATAAAGGTATATTTTTCTTCCCAGATACTCGTAACTACTTTGTGAATATAGAAGTACTTATTAAGAACTGATTCTATAAATGGTTGTGTCCAATTATAGACTAGAAACATTGTAGTTACTCTCAATTTGAAAGAATTTTCCCATTTGTGATTGTCTATTACTTCTCAGGAACTGTGAAAATTACCTTCTAATACTGTGATGGCACTAGCAAATTCAGAACTTTCCCAGTTTTACCACTGAGAGTCCTATCTCCTGAAACATTTTGGTCCTGGGCAACCTGGATAATTAGTTATTCTTATTTGTGAGCTAGAGGAACCTTAGAGATAATCTATGCCTTGGCTGTCACTTTCTAAATGGGGAAGCAGAGAGACAGGTCAGAGTAGGCACATGAGTCTGGAATGAGTAAGTGGCAGAGCCAAAACTAGAACTCAAGGCTGCTGACCTAACTCAGCCTTGCATTAGTAAAGTATCAAAAACTGCTTTGCTTTACAGTAGTTTTCTTCTTTTTAATTCCCACTTAAGTATCTTTTAGGCACCATAAAATTCTGTGTGGCAGATTTGGTATAATTTTTGTTTTTGAGAGGAAGCATTTACCTAAGGATAGTTGTCTTCTGCCTTTCATTTCTGTGATTCTAAACATAAAGGCATTAAATCATTAGACATTTAGTGGGTAAAGGCTCAGATTTGATCACTTCTCTGATTTAAATAACATTTCTGGTAATTAGACATATTTTTGGTGTCCTGTAATGTGAATTTAAAGAATATTTTTATTTTAGGTGCAGAGTGATTTGGAAGCAAAAGTCAATTCTGTTACAGAATTACTTAGTAAGTTACAGGAGACTGATAAACACCTACAACGTGTTACAGAGCAGCAAACAAGCATTCAGAGTAAACAAGAGAAACTACACTGTCATGATCATGAAAAGCAAATGAACGTGTTCATGGAGCAGCACATAAGAAATCTTGAAAAATTACAACAACAACAAATGGATATTCAGGTATCCATAATAAAGCCAGTACAGATTCCTTAATCTTTTATCACTTGGATCTCTCAGCTAATATTCATTGATAATTGCAGTAGCTCATTAGATTGTAACAGTTTTAATTCTTAAATCATGATTTGCTTGTCTTTGTTCTCCTCTAATGTGGATAACTCTGCATGTTATATCTCAAATGTTACTAGTTCTGTGAGACCTCTCCCTCTATTTGGTTTTTCCTCCTTTTAAACTATTTTTGTTTATATCATTTTTATTTTTATTAATTTATTTTTTGAGATGGAATCTTGCTATGGTTGCTCAGGCTGAAGTGCAGTGGTGCAGTCTCCACTTACTACAACCTTCACCTCTCGGGTTCAAGAGATTCTCCCGCCTCAGCCTCCCATGTAGCTGAGATTACAGGCACACACCACCATACCCAGCTAATTTTTGTATTTTTAGTAGAAACGGGGTTTTAGCATATTGGTCAGGCTGGCCTCGAACTTGTGACCTCAAGTGATCTGCCTTCCTTGGCCTCCCAAAGTGCTAGGGTAACATGCATGAGCTGCCATGCCTGGCCGCATTTTTAAATGCTTATATCATATTGTAGCTATGTGTTTATATCAGCAGTTTTTAGTCTGGGAATGTGCACTAGAATTACTTGCAAAACTTTATAAAAATGTTCATGCTTTTCGTGTTTGGCATCTTGGCAGGCCAAGCTAAGACGATAGATTGAGGCCAAGAGTTCAAGACCAGCCTGGTCAATGTAGCAAGACCTCATCTCTAAAAAAAAAAAACAAACCTGGCCTGGTGGCATATGTCTATAGTCCCAGATACTTAAGATAGGGAGACTGGAGGAGACCTTTAGTCCAGGAATTTGCAGTTACAGTGAACTATGATAATGCAACTGTGCTTCATCCTGGATGACAGAGTGAGACCCTATCTCAAAAAAAAAAATTATACACACACACACTTGCTTAGGCCTTTCAGAGATTTTGAACCAGCAATTCTGAGGTAGTGCCTGGCAATCATTGAAAGCTTCATAATGATTCTGATGCACACCCTTGGATAAGAACTACCTGGTATACATATTTGCGTTTGCATTTAATTAATTAAAAGAACGAACATTTTTAATGCTGTTTGAGAATGAGACACTGGGGCTATTATAAAAAGTGTTATTCTCACAAGAAGTTGATAGCATACTTTTCTTATTTATTTTTGAATTTTTTTTTTTTTTTTGAGATGGAGTCTCTATCACCCAGGCTGGAGTTCAGTGGTGTGATTTTGGCTCACTGCAACCTCCACCTCCCAGGTTCAAGTAATTTTCATGCCTCAGCTTCCCAAGTAGCTGGGATTATGGGCTTGTACCACCATGCCCAGCTAATTTTTATATTTTCAGTAGAGACAGGTTTTCACCATGTTGGTGAGACCAGTCTTGAACTCCCGGCCTCAAGTGATCCATCCATCTTGGCCTCCCAAAGTGCTGGAATTACAGACATGGGCCACTGTACCTGACCTATTTTGGAATTTCTAAGTCCTAGAACACTACTTAGCCCTCAGTAAACTTTATTTATTTATTTATTTATTTTTTGGAGTGAGTGAATGATCGGCATTGTAAATGTGTTGGTTTTAATTTACTTTTTTTCTAATTAATGTGAAATTTATTTCTTTATATTTTTGAGATGGAGTTTTGCTCTTGTCACCCAGGCTGGAGTAGGTGACAAGATGATGTGACCTTGGCTCACTGCAACCTCCGCGTCTCAGGTTCAGGTGATTCTCCTGCCTCTGCCTTCCAAGTAGCTGGGATTACAGGTGCCTGCCACCACGCCCAGCTAATTTTTTGTATTTTTAATAGAGATGGGGTTTTACCATGTTGGCCATGCAGGTCTTGAACTCCTGACCTCAGGTGATCTGCCTGCCTCAGCTTCTCAAAGTGCTGGGATTACAGGTGTGAGTCACCGTGCCCAGCCTAAAACCAGTTTTATTAGTTAAGATACTTGCTCATTTTAGATATTTTACTCTATTTTTATTTTATTTTATTTTATTTTAGAGACAGAATCCCACTCTGTCATCCAGGCTGGAGTGCAGTGGCACCATCTTGGCTCACTGCAACCTCTGCTCCCTGGTTCAAGTGATTCTCTTGCCTCAGCCTTCTGAGTAGGTGGGATTACAGGTGCCTGCCACCATGCCCAGCTAATTTTTGTATTTTTAGTAGAGACAGGGTTTTGCCATGTTGGCCGGGCTGATCTCGAACTCCTCACCTCAGGTGATCTGCTCCCCTTGGCCTCCCAACATGCTAGGATTACCAGCATGAGCCCCTGTGCCTCACCTCATTTCAGATATTTTAATAAATAGTGCTGAAAACTATGTTGTCACTCTATTTTCCATTTATGTGCAAATGTATATGTTATTGCTGCTGCTAAGCATGGATATTTATTTGAGAACTTACTGTCAATGATTTTCAAACCTTTGCTTCAAACAAGATCTTACCATTGAGGATATAAAAGATGGAATGTTTTGGTTTTGAATTCTCTGATGTAAGTAGAGGTTTAGGGTGAGGGCCTGTCTTTCCTGGTCTTCTCTTAGCTGGCAGCAATGGCCCCTGAGCCATATCTGAGGTAGAAAGGAAAGCACTGAGGTTTAGAATGGTTAAGGAAAATGATTAAGGTCACACAGCAGAGTCAGGCTTAGTGCAATTCTGCATCTTTCCAATGGCATTGCTGCTGCTTTTACACTGGATATTTGCAATGTAATATGTATTTTTTCATTGTTTAAGTATAGTAAATTATGTTTAACCCCTTTAATATTTCAATGTATTTTATTATCTCTTTCAAATGATATTTGAAAACAATAAAATAATCTTATTTCTTCTAGACTCATTTTATTAGTGCTGCACTCAAGACTAGTAGTTTTCAGCCTGTTAGTGTGCCCTCCTCCAGAGCAGTGGAAAAGTATTTTGTAAAACCAGAACACCCTAATCTTGGTAGCTGTAATCCATCTTCATATAACACATTTGCCTCCAGACAAGGTAAAAATATGTAGTTCTCTATGAATAAAAAATGTCAGCTATGAATTCTCTTTGTGCTGCATGAGCTGAAAACATATTTCCTAATCAGTAGGAGTCTTTGTTTTATAAAATTTACTCATAGGATTTTAAAAAATAAATCTAGTTTGTTTTTTTTTTATTATTTTTTAAAATTTTCTTAGGCTACCTTGTCTTAGCTAAAACTAGTTTTTTTGTTTGTTTGTTTTTTTGGTGAGATGGAGTCTCTCTTTGTCATCCAGGCTGGAGTGCAATGGCATGAACTTGGCTCGCTGCAACCTCTGCCTCCTGGGTTCAAGTGATTTTCCTGACTCAGCCTCCTGAGTAGCTAGGATTACAGGCACCCACCATCATGCCTAGCTAATTTTTGTATTTTTGTAGAGACAGAGTTTCACCATGTTGGCCAGGCTAGTGTCGAACTCCTGACCTCAGGTGATCTACCCGCCTTGGCTTCTCAAAGTGTTGGATTACAGGCGTGAGCCACCGCACCCAGCCAAAACTAGTTCTGTTTTTAGGTCAAGTAATTTTTAGGTTATTCTGAAATTTTTAAAAATTATGAATTATGTTCTTATCTGTGGTTTTAATTAATAACCTTCATAAATTGTCAGAGTGCTTATAAATTTAGAAAAATATTATTTACTATCAAAAATGCTTGTAAATAGATCAATTCTGCTCTCTGACAAACTGCATATTTACTATTTTTCTTGATTCTGTCAGAGCAACTGCCTGAGTACATTTTTAAACCATTTCTAAATATTTTCAGAGTTAGTAATGCAAGTCTGCTTATCTTGATTGAATTTTAAAACTCTGTAATAACAAAGCAATACATAGCTTATTTGTTAAAACTTTAGTATTTAAAATAAATGAATAAATGTGTTTCTAAGTTATTGTTATTTGAATAATGAACTAAAGATAATCGAGGGACTATCTTTTTAGGGATATGCAGATATATATAGTACAATATTTTCAACACTTGATCTGTTAGAACATTGTTGTACTGCAGTCATTAAAGATTGCTCATGCTTATAAGGTGTTTTACATTTTGCAACAAATGAGTGGTCCTTGTAAAACTTTTGTGGCCAGCACTTTGAGAGGCCAAGGTGAAAGGATCACTTGAGCCCAGGAGTTCAAGGGCAATTTAGTGAGACCCTGTCTCTAAACATAAAAGTAAAAAAATTAGCCAGGTGTGGTGGCACATGCTTGTAGTCCCAGCTACTTTGGAGGCTGAGGTGGGAAGATTGCCTGAGCCCAGGAGGTTGAGGCTTCAGTGAGCTGTGATCATGCAACTGCACTCCAGCCTGGATGACAGAGTGAGACCCTGTCTTAAAAACAAAAAAAACAAGCAAACAACAACAACAAAGAACTGTTGTGAATTAATATGAGTCCATTTTTAAGTTATGAAGAAAGGACAGTGAAGCACAGAATGGTATGACTTGCCTGCTCAAGATTGCCTGACCTGGGAGGGAGGATGTGAGAGCTAGCACCAGAACTCGGTTTCAGTATGACCCAGCTGTGTGCCTTCTATAGCAGTGGACACTTTTTTCAGAACTCAGCTCTAGGGAATTTCTTGCTTATAATTTTGTTTTTCTTAAGCATGATTTTTTTTTTTTTTTTTTT